TACCGAGAAGAGAACCCAGGTGGAAAAAAAAACGTTGGGTTAATAGAGGAAAAAGAGTACAGGTGGCGGTATTTATCAGCCCCTCATGAGTTATAATATAACTCTTATATATATTTTGCCATGGAGATATCAAATATATAGTTTAAATCTCTATTCATGATTTCTGGTCATGATTCAAAAAGAACTATATCTTGGCAAATAAATTTGATAAAAATGCGTGAGAGATGTTAGGTCAGTGGTATTCAGGCGTACCGAAGGACAGTTGAGCATTAGCATTTTTATTTACATCTAGATATTGATATTGTTCGCGATCAAGTAAGTTTCTTCATAAGTTTCTCAAAATTTGAAAGAAATGGGTCATATTTCTCGATTAAGGTGATCTCGAGGGTACTGATCGGTATAAAATCATGTTAAATAACTTTAGTCATATATGTGGATTCATAGATAAAATTTCATGGTATAGAAATGCCTCGATCTTCAGATTGAAAGACAAAATGTTTATATTTCCAATAGTTTTTCATCTCGAAGAGCTCTGTCGTCCCATAGGAATTCATAATCTTTGAAGCTCGTAGAAGTTCTAAATGGAATATTTATGGATCAAATAATGATAGAATTCCATATTGCAATATCTCTCTATAAAAATCATGAATATATAGACAATATTTATTAAATAAATCCATGCAACAGATATGCACTAATCAAGGAGATCGACCTTACTCATTGATAGTATTATAAAGATAAATATTCAAATATGCTTTCCAAATTAATAAAATATTATAAAAAATAATATAATCATAAAATAATATAATATTGTTCTGAAGCCAGTGAAAGCATCAGATTAAGGCAATTAATACTTATAGTGTGATAAAATTGTCTTTAAGGTCAATAGAGAATCTTGAATATATTCTCGGGCTCTCGATTTGCTGGTGCTCTTACTCATGATAGTATATAAAATAAATATTAAAAATATGCTTCCAATAATAAAATATTATAAAAATAATATAATCATAAAATAATATAATATTTTCTGAGCCATAAACATCATTAAGGCAATTATATTATATGTATTAAAATTTCTTTAATCAATATAGAAATCTTGAATATATTTCTCGGGCTCTCGATTTGCTTGCTTCAAGCATTTTTTAACATTTCATGGATATCATTATTTGTAATCCATATAGAGCTCTATAATATTTAGTTAAATAAATTTCTCAAGAATTTAATTTTATGCTTAAGCAACTAAAATCCTTCAGGGATTTTAATATAGATATCTACATCAAGTTATCCATTTAAATAGGCATCCATTAATTCATTACACATATTTCGAGATTTCATAAATTGTCAAACTAATCAAATATAAAATTATAATTGTGTCTACCACATGAGGGTATTTATCCTCATGATCAATGTCAGTTCTTTGCGAAAAACTTGTGCAACAAGTTTACTTTATAACTCATGACCTCATTTCAATTTTGCACAAATATATATTTGTATTCTATTGACTTGACATCTCTTGATGCCATATTAAAATTTTAAAATTTACTTTTCAAGTAAATTTAAATGCCACATGCATCGTTCTATTTTGACTAATTAATTCTGTGTATATATTCTCAATAGACTAAACTCAAGATCCTCATCATTTTTCACAATTTCAAGCGCTATATTATATAAATATTGTCGACATTTCTTTTATATCAGTTCAACATTTGTCCAGACATGATATAATTTATTGAGATCTCATTATTTTCAATGATTTCAGGTACCTAAGTTTTTTCTGGAAACTTATTATTCATATCACGGAATTCTTCAACACTTTGCTCTCTAGAACTTGACCATCTTGAATGTTTGCTCCTTTTATTTTTCTAGGATTTTTATCCTTGGAACCGATTAATCTATCACACTTCAGGCATATCTTAGAGTCATTAGCATAGGCAGTTTGTCTTTCAAGGACTTTGATTCTAATAGGAGCATTTCAAATTCACACTGCCTTGTATGAGGAGCAAGATATAATAATGATAATTCTTTTCCAATCAATTATTAGTTTCTCCCCCTAATGTCGTGATCCATAACAATTACCAAATTTGGCTATAAATAACTTTTTTATTTTTGAAAGTTCTAAATAGATAGATGTAAATTCATACCTACATATTTTTCAACCTCGTTTGAAAACCCATCTTAGTGCGTTGTGGTGGAACAATTAGAACATATGCCGCACATTTAAAAATTCCTAGAAGGGTAATATTTAGTTCTTGATCAAAAAATCAATCATAAAGGGGGAAACTTATAGTAACTTATTATCTTGATGCAAGTAAATGCTATTAAATTTAATAGCATGTCCCTCTAAAAAATAAGGAACTTCGTTTTCATAATAATCCTTGCAATTATTTAACAAATAATTATACTAAATCATTTTGAGCATAAATAAAAGCAACAACAGATTGCCGAAAATTATTTCAATTAACACATGATGTATAAATTCACTATCATTCTCAAGATAAGTCAGCTTAATAGCATAATCTGAAAATTGTATTCTTAATCAAATTATTTGCGCAAAAGAGGATTAAAAACAAAAATTTGGCCATGGGCATTCAGCAAGAAGCGCGGGCATGGCGTTCTACCCAACACGCTTGTGTTTCTCTGTAGAATTTAACTTAGCCCAAGATTTCAGATTAAACACGTTTTGTCTACATGAATCTGCATAAAAATATTGTGGGACGTGCCTTATTAAAGTTGGAGTCCTATTTAGAGGCCGGGAAAAATCATAATTGGGAAGAAATACAAAGCCTAATCAATTTCCTACCTCCAAAAGATTTCTTCCTCAATAGAGATTCACTTTCCTAAACAAATTCAAAGATAATCCAGATAGTCTGTATAAAAAGAGAGACTACCTAGTTTAATTTTTATCTTTTGATCTTTTGTTCTCTTGTTCTCTACTCTACATAGTTTCTCCCTTTAAGACTTTAACTATTCAAGTTGGTATAAAGATTCAAGGAAGCCGTCTAAGCCAATTGCCGACTAATTTTTATTTCTAAATTTTTTTCTTGTTTATTTTTCATTATGAGATTATTTACAAGTTTACTTGAGTTTAATATATTTATTATGTCGAACTAAATCTTTTTACGAGGGATATAATGCAGCTAAAATTGAACTCTAATTCATAATATTACATTTGATTTTCTTTATTCAACTAATCAAAATTTATTATTGATCTTAATGCTTCCAAATAGAGTTTCTCCGCTAGATTGCTTTATTTTATTAATAATTGTTAAGATAAAGGTTTTCAATATAAATAGGTTGGTAAGTTTCATGCGAATAAAAACTTTATGCAAGAGCAAGATGGTTTGACTCATGGAAGGTTTTTATAAAATGAAAGGCCGTAGTTTTTGAATTCCTGAATAATTATAGAACTTAATGATTTAATCTATGTTTGATTTCCCTGTTAAGAGATGGATAATTGATTATGTTAAATAGCTAATAAAACATCGAAAGAGTTTATTAACGATTTTAGGGTTATTTTTCCTTCTTGAATAATTAAAATTGATTAGCAAACTAATAGAAAAATTAGATAGAATTAAGTAAAGTCAAAATTTTTAGTAACTTTGAAACCTTCATTTCTTTTCAACAATTAATTGCTTGATTTCTTTTTAATTACTTTATTTTATTTTATTATTTTTATAATTATTTTTCTTATTGTCGTTTAGAGTACAGTATGTCAATATAATTTTGGTATATAGTATACAATACTCGTGAGAACGATACTCTATTCATTCTTTATTAATTGTTGCGATTTCGTACACTTGAATTTGTCTTGTCAAATAACCACATAACCTAAACTTCCTCTTTTACCCTCCCTCTTCCTCCATTTCTTTCTCTCATTTTCTCCTACTCAATGAAATGTAGTCTTCATTAAAGACTTCTCTTGATGAGGAATAAGGAAGATATTATTTACAGTTTCATCCACTAAAAACATTTCTATGCCAATCCCAAATCACCTTTAAAATCAACAATAGCTACTTCAATCGACGGACATTGTAAGCCCATCGTATCCTGTTCTTCTGCAAGAGAAGAATTGCGACTGAAAAGCGAAATTGCAGTCAAAAAAGTTCAAATCAGGGTGTCATTACAATAACTCCTTGAGTTGAGAGTATTTTTAGTAGTTAAGCCTAAGCATCTATATCAAAATTATTAACAAAAATTACTAAATTAGGATAAATTACTAGTTAAAGCGTACATTTGATGAAATTATTTACTGACCCCTATCTTTTCAAAATACGCTAATACATTCTTATAGTTTGCTCCCATTTTGCACTTTTTATTATTAATTTTTAGTTAAAACATTAAAATATCTTTATCCTATTTCTATTGCACTTCTTTATGCTAAAGCAAAAATTACATTTTTAAAGGCCTAATCACCAAAAATATATTAAAAAAAAAAGCCTAAATTTTTGCATTTTTTTCAAATTTGACCAATACTTTTAATTTTATCAATCAATACTCTATATTTATTTTTTATTGTCAATTCTAGCCTCCATCCAGAGTCCGATTAGATGTGGTTCAGTGAAACAGTTCCATAAGTGAAGACATCTACTTGGCAAACCTTGCGATTACTAACAGTGAATTACTTGCGAGGATCTATCAAAAGTCACATGAAAAAAGATTGTCTCAACAACTCAATATTTTAATTTAGAGACTTTAAAAGCAAGGATGATCGTCGAAAAATCGATCACATGAATATAATCTAGCATGCTGTAGAACCACTTAACAGCCAAATAAACAACAAACTGACATACTCTGGACATATGTCATAATTGACTAGGAAAAATAAGTTTAAAATAGTAATTGACAAAATTATTTTATTCATTAACAATTCATATATAATTTGTTGAAAAGATAAAGTTATTCTTAATATGGAGAGAGCATTTTCATCTTTTCATTGAAAAATAAAACTAAAAAAAATGTAAGATTTAGACAGAAAGATCAAACCATTAGACAATTCTAAATTAGCGGAATAAATTCACATATTTTAAAATAGTCAATTTCAGTAAACCACAGGAACCAAACAGTAATTCCCAAAAGTATTTGAGAAAAACGTAGAGAGGTAGCAACGAAAAGAGAAATTATAAAACAGCCAGATGAACCCCAATACTAATTGCCACTTAAAAGTTAAAATACGGCATCCAAGATAGAGAAACTACTAAAAATTTATTATTTTTATTTTTCCTGCTGAAAAAGCTAATATACATACACACACACACACATAAAATTAGATTATGTAATTTCTTGACACCGTACAATTCCTGCTGCTCCTCCAGAACACAGCCATCTCTCACTCCCTTTGTTCATATTCCATCTAACTCTATGCATTGCAACAATATCAGGAGGGAGAACTTCAATTTTGTTCGCAGGTTTTCCCTTTTCACTTTCTCTCTCTTGTACCCCATCTTGTCCTTCATCCATGCATATCAATGTTTTATCCTTTCCATCCATTATAGTACTGGCTTTTTGGGATTTTGGTTTAATTCTACTTTTCAGAGCTGCTAATGTTTCATTGTCTCTATATTGCATACCTGGATCATCGCCATCGCACAAAACTGCTAAAAGTTTGACATAAGTTTACACATATCAGAGAAAGAGATAAAGTGACACCGCGGAATCACAGATGCCAATCCTATATCTTTGTTTAGACTAAAATAAACAAGAACAATCACAGTATGAAAACTGAAAGCAAGTTGGTACTGAAATGCCAAAGATTACCTGATAGTTGATTATCAGCAGCTGGCGCTTTTTCTGCCTTATTGTTATTCGCTCTTTTCGTCTGGTTTGAGTCCAATAAGCTTTGCATGGCGTTCTTAACTGGCTTCTTCAGAGTTAAAGGAGCATCCTGTAACGGGGTGTTAACTGTAATGGCCAATTCATCATCCTTACTTAGAGACCCAGCCATAAAATGAGGAGCACGATGTTTTGATGAATCTTTCTCTACTGCTTTTTCTGTAAGCTGATAATAGATACAACACATTAAGCTTTGGCAATGATCTAAAGCAACTTGGAAGCGCAAACATGAACATGAATATGTACAATTCACTCAAAAAGTTAATTGTGAATGATTTATGAATAAAGTATGATGAAGTATCTGACAAATAATTCTAGACAAATCATATGAACTACTATGAGACGTATAAAGATTGTCAAAAAAAGGTAGAAAGTTTAGTATATGGATTTAGAACAGTGAATTTTGCTGTTTTTTTTAAGAAACGACAATAAGAGACAGAAATGTTATTTTCCCTTCTTGAAATAGCATCAAAATTAAGCACAAGATTTTTGGTCAAGGGAAGTGTACATTGCATTATTACTACCAAAAAGAAAAAAGAAATTGACATTTCAAAGAGCGCATATTGGTCCATTTGTACAAAGTAGATCCCATATTCGCAATATGAATCGATAATGCAACATGGATAATGCATAGGAGTGTAGCAAGTTATACTAGAAAATCGGGAGTCGATTTACCTGGAAGCAGCAAACAGTACCATCTGCACCACAATATGCAACCATTCCTATTGAAATTCATGAATAAGTTAATTAGATAAATGAAAAATAAAAGAAATGGAACACTGTTGCATTTCTAATTGACTAGGTGCAGTTTTATTGGAAAAGCATGGGTTATAATTTCCACCGTAATTTTCAATTGAAGATTTACATTTTAATTTTACAACTATTTGCCTAAAAGAATTTTATGGGTGAGATTGCCAACATACCATAGAGCAGAAGGTTGCATATAAATTATAATAACAATAATAACATTCGCCTATCAAGGATATCAAAAGGCTCAATCCCAACCTGCTTCACCACACCTGCCCGCTCCCCAACCTTCTTTTGTCAAAATATTTATGCTATGAACCATGCATAGGATACTAGAGACACATTGACATTGACAGATTATTAAACCCATATAAAGCATAACCATTGATACTCACACCAGCTTCCTCCTAACAAGAAAATACAAATTACATCCTCTAATAATAGAATCAAATGGAATTGGAAGGGACATCAATTGATACCTGTTTTCCTTGACACTTGAACGCTCCATATGGCAAAGGATGTTGAACAATAAAGCATATGCAATCCTGATTGTTTAGACTCATGAGAAGGTTTTCCACTAACATGGCCATCAGATGCAACCTTCACCAAGCTGAGGAGTGTCATTGTTCCATCATCCAAGGATAGGATAACACATCTGAAAATGTAAACAATAAATGGTTTAACTGTAGGATAATTTATTATTACCAAAAAGGTCAAAACCATGTGTAAGCCACCAAGAAAAATCGATACAACACCTTGGATCTGGCAGCCAATCCAAACTGTAAATGAATTTCAATGACGTGTGGTGCTCCCACAGAGGTCGGAATGGATCACTGCAAAAAAACCAAAAGTGTATATATATATATATAGTATGACACGTAATCATCCCAACTTTCTATGCTTCTAGCTAATTTAGAAATTGTGCCTAAAAAATAGTTCGCATAGATAACACAAAAAAATTACACATCAAAAACTTATCAACCAAATCCAACTCTGGTTAGTTTTTCATGCCTGCTCCAGGAAAAAAGGCGAAGAATCCACACTTAATATTGAAAATCCATTCAGAAAGAAATTACATAATTCATAAAACTGTGGGGACATGAATACATGTTAAAATTATCAGGAAAAAGACCAAAGAAACCTGATAACGCATGACAGTTAATGAAGGGACATCAAGAAACAATTATTTTTGTTCAGAAATCAAGATATATTTCAAACCCATGAGATTGAATGATGTATCATTTTTACTTTAGAATTTAGGCTTCATTTGTTTTCGGAAAAAAAACTTACCTTCAAAAATATTTTCTAAGGAAAAGTAAAGTAAACATTTTTGTTAAAATATTTTTAAAGGTCAACTTTTTGTTGTTTGGTTGCAAGATTGAAGATTAATTAAAAAATTAGAATTTTAATTTTATAAGACTATAAGAATATTTTGAATTATAAAAAAATCACATTTAAAAATTTATTCTTAAATATGAGAAAAAAAAAAAAAAAAACACAAAAAAAAAAATTATTCTTAAATATGAGAAAAAAAAAAAAAAAAAAAACACAAACAAAATGGTCATCAGTGATTGGTGCTGAAGGGCAGTAAGTAAAAAAAAAAAAAAAAAACACAAAAATGGTCATCAGTGATTGGTGCTGAAGGGCAGTAGTGACTACTGTTGGTTAGTGGTGCTTGCAATAGGGACTATTGGTAATCGACATAGTAATTAAAGGCACGCCTTTTTAAATTTTTCTTCTCTGCACAATCAGGCTAGGATTTCCTTTTATGATCATATGATCTAGCCGCCTCCACACTTCATATATTATATGTTTACGTTTTAAAAAAATAATAATAATAATAACAGAAGAAAAGAAAAAAATCAACAAATTCTCTCTTTTAGCCATCAAAACTCGGGTATATACCTCTCTCTTTCGATCGCCCTTGCTTCTACTCCCTTCTCTAACTCAATATCTTAAAATATAAGGGGTTATGCTATCAATTTTTTTTTTTTATTCTGTTAGGATTTCAGTCATAGAAATCCTAATAAATGTGTTTGGACACTGAGAAAAGGGTAGAAAATTAGAGAAAAGCAAGAGTAGAGAAGAAAGAAAGAATTATGGAAGATGATAAGGAAATTAAAGAAGAAAGGGAAGAGGCTAGACAACTTTTATTTACTTTTCAATTGTATAACCATATTCAAAACAGATTCAAGAATCAGAATTAAATCCTAAACTCGTAATATTCTAACAGTCAAATCAAAATTGAAATTTATTATCTTTACAATTATATCATTATATGTTTTATATTACTAATGATTTTTTTTTTTTTCAATTTTTTGAAGTTATCATATACTTTTTTTAATTTTTGTGCCTCACCTCACTCAAGCGAGCGGCTTGGCTCCAGCAACCCTTTGCGCCTTAGTGTGCCTTGCGCCTTTAATTACTATGGTAATCAATGAATTAATAAATGTGTGTTTATAAGCTTTTTCCCTAGTTATAATAACTTTATCAATTTTTGGAAAATGTTTTCCTCTCCCAAAAGGGGAAGTTATTTTCCTCTAAAATGACTCAATTTTCCAGTTGAACAAGTAAAATATTTTCCAGAAATAAACAGAGGCTTAGTTTATTCTAAGGCAAGTATATATAATTTCACTAAACTTCTTAGGAGGCTTCATCACTCCACAAGCATATGATTTCATGAAAAATCAGCTGAAAGCATCATGAAAAGGGTCAACAAGTTTGGAGTTCAGTACAAGGTTACATCTTTGATTGGTTGGCACAAAAGAAAACTAATTGGAGTGAATTTGTTGTTCAAAGTGATATGAGTGTCTGGTGCAATATGTTTTAAGCAGCCAACCATATTACACAAGTTTTCATCGCATTGCAATAAAAAGTTCAAGTATGTTCTAACTATAAAAGATATTCAAAAATCTATTTATTTATATATGAACAAAAAAAATTATTTACTATTTATACATTAAAAGAAAAATACAGTGGCAATCAACATTATCAAACACTAGCACATCATTAAGAATATGAAGCAAAAACTTATGATACTTACCGTATGTCCCAAAACTTCAGGCCTCCATGTCCAGCAGTAAGTATAACATTTGCAATCTCATTATCACTGAAAATAGTTTAAAAGTGCATGTTATAAATCTCAACCAGCACAACAAAGAGGTGCATTTCATAAAAATTACTATCTAAAAGCCCACAACATTTTCTATGGCCATTTTAAACAACGACAGTTCACGGCAAGAAGCAGCATGCATTGATTGACACAATAATGGAATAAATTGCCCAAGCCAAGACAAGTATGCAAGCACTCGATGCATCTTTTTCACAAAATTATAGCTCAATTAAGAGTTCAGCTATTTATTGTTTTCTAGGATGAGATTTATCATTCTTTTGCAATGGCTTCATTGCACAATTAACAACATCGCACACAATTGGTTTTGTGAATGACCATCAATATAATAAGCAAACTCCCTTTGATGAGAGGTCCCTTGACTGAGAGACAATTTGCATATTATCAATTTAATCACCAGCAAATTTATTGCTTAAAATAAGAAAATCAGTAAAAGCATTGACTTAGAAATTGGAAGAAAAATCTATCATCTGAAATGACTTACCTTTCAGATGGAGCCCATGCGACTGCTCTAATAGCATATGTATCTGCACTGAAACACAACAAAGGCCTTGTATCTATAAAGTAAAAATTGTAAAACAATTTGCATCAAAACCTTGTGCCTGAACAAATCATATCTATAGAGAGTAAGCACAAAGGATATTTGAAAGACAAAATAAATTCATTACCTCCAGATGTGCCACTCGCAGAAAACTTCCATAAAGCAACCTAAAAATTAGTTAATGAAATGGCAACATCATGGTTAGATAAATAAATCCCTTGGAAATTGGAAGCCTATGGTAAAGAGTTAGGGAAATCTTACATCTAATGAAAATTTCTTAGCTTTTGATACCACATGAATTCAGAATGACAGATGAGATGGCAGGATTGTTCAACATGTATGGCAGATAGAACTCAGTCAGCCAGCATTACAACAAGGTTAAAATTGGCTACTGAATGATGAGCTAAGGCTAAAATTAGCCAAAATCAAATGGGTTCAAATTAACACAAAACTCTTGTGAATTTAGTAAAATTAACCTTTGACTCTGACAATGTTTAAAAATATGACAAAATATTATTATAAATATTTCTTTTTTTAATAGAATATTAAATTTTGAAAGAAAAAGAAAATTTCAGAAAAGTGAAGATATAGAAGTAAAAAGAAGGCGGAAAAGGGAAAACCTAAATTCAAACACACTCAATTTAAATTCCTAAAAAATCCATCATCCTCACTCTAAAATTCATTTATCCAACTAAAATCAAATGTCTAAGATCTTGCATTAAGTTTTTTTCTTGTTATAAGAATACCCCAAAAAAAAATGAACATAAAAAAAAAGATAAATAAATAAATAAAGCTCAAATCTTTTCCCACTCATTTGACTTGACTAAAACCAGAAAAGTTTTGGGAGTGTGACCATGGGTAACAAAACTATTGGAATTAGGTGAGTCTGGTCGCCTAATTGGTAGAACAAACCCACATCAATGGAGAAGGTGTATTGAAGGGATGTAATCATTTCTGGTTTTTTTTTTTTTTTTTTTTTTTTTTTTTTTTTTTTTTTTTTTTTTTTTTTTTTTTTTTTTTTTTTTACTTAGCGTTAAGGAAAGTCAATACAATTATTTAAGTTATGTGAACAGCATGACCTTAAGGATTTATATCCCTAAATACTCTAGGATTTATATTCCTAAATAGTTTAAGAATTACTTGTATACAAACTTGTATCATTGATGTCCCGACATTGCTTATTCAATGTGTTGTAAATCCATTCACGTATACTCAAACAGTAAATCATTGTGCAGCCTTAGAACAAATCTTATATTATTAAAAAGGAGCTCTAGGACCAGGTTTGTAACATTCAAATGATGGTCATTTTAATATTGAGAGTTATTCAAATGCAGATCAGGCAGGATCTAAAGTTGATAGAAGATCTACAACTCGATATTGTGTCTTTGTTGGAGGGAATTTGGTTTCACGGAGAAGCACAAAACAAAATGTGGTTGCTCAGCATTGTGCAGAATTAGAATACAAAGCCATAGCACAATCTATGTGGGAATATGGGTGTGTCACTTGTTAAATGAAGTTGGTCTTAAGTATTCACTGCTTGCTAAATTATGGTGCAATAATCAAGTTGCTCTCCATATTACTTCTAACCAATATTTCATGAACGCATCAAGCATATTGAGATTGATTGTCATTTCGCTCGTGACAAGATTCAAAAAGAAGCTTATTTCCATAGGCTATGTTAAAGTTGGAGACTAGTTAGGAGATATTTTCACAAAAGTTTTGAATGGAGATGATGTTGACTATACATGTAACAAATTGGGCGTGGTTAACATCTATGCTAAAGAAAGTCAATACAAGTTATACAAGTTATGTAAATAGCATGATCTTAGGGATTTATATTCTAATTAGTCTAGGATTTATATCCCTGAATAGTCTAGGATTTACTTTATATAAATAGTATGACTGATTGATGAAATACACAAAAAAAAAAAAAAAAAAAAAAAAAAAAAAAACAATATCTCTCGTAACACTCAGTTTCTTGAATTTTTATTTTTTATTTCTGCATTTTGAATGTTATTTTAGTTTTTTTTTTTTTTTCCATTTTCTGAACTTTCCATTTTTTTTTCAAATTTTATTATTCTATTAAAAAAAAGAAAACTTTAAGAAAATATTAGAAAACGAATATTTACTTTGGAGGTTGTTAGAGTGCATGATTAATTTGGTTAAATTCACAAAAGTTCTATGTTAATTTGATCCAATTTAAATACGACGGCTAATTTGAACCTTAACCCAGTTGCATTGCCAATTTAAAACTTGTTCCAACATTTGTTCATAAAATATCTTCTTTTGGGGTATATAGCATCTATATATTTACAAAGAGCACAAATTAAGCATACTATGCTCATGCAGAAGCACCTATAGATATATGGATATTCTCATATAGACAAAATTATGATAGCAATGTTCTTTTAATCGCTGGGATGCAGATTGGAGCATAATATTGCTAATACTAACAATAAAAACAAGATAACTGACATATTACCGTTCCATCATGGCATCCAACAAGTAAGTAATCATGTGGACATGAAGTTGACCACTCCACTGTCAAAGGGATGCTGCATAGGAAATTAGCAATCAATCAAATATGATGGGAAATGATAACAAATGATTCATATCGCAATCCCAACTAGTCTGGGACTAAAGCTTTGTAGTTGTTGTTGTTGTTGATCAACTAACATGAGAAATAACTCATGGAAATCGTACTAGATTCTACAACTAGATGGAATTTGATGTTTTAATATAATATGAAATTCTGCATATCTCTTCAAACTAAAATCCCCAAATCCTTAATCTAATAGATTAGACAGGATGATATGTTGAATGAAAGTCTTTCCATTTCTTCCCTTTATCCTTATCTTGTCCTTATGCAAATGATTTTTTTTTTATCTGCATCTATACAAGATCAATATGTCAGACCCAACCAAATGGAAAAGCTTGAACTATATTCTTAAATTTCTACAATCTTCACCGAAGATTCTAGCTTGAAATGGAGCCTATGACAAACTAGATGGGTGGGTTTGGGATGATAAATTCTCTGCATAAAATACTTTATTTCTATTAACTACAACACATAAAAAATGAATTCTAAATTACTGGATCTAGGAATCTGTCTCCTCAATCTCAGTTGAATTTCATGTAAGTATTAAGAATATATGAGATAGGCAAGTAAATTACCTCTGCATTTGTCCACATTTAGCAAATGAACATCTGAACACTGGCTCCAATTTTACAAAGCGAGGATCAGTATCTTTGCTATGAGAAGAAGAATAAATTACTTTCACCACATGAGGAAGAGGAACATCCCATCTGCATTTTATAGTGGAATCACAAGACAAATCACTCCTTAACATCCCATCTGCATTTTATAGTGGAATCACAAGACAAATCACTCCTTTTGAAAAATTAAATGGAACAGTAAGCATATCTATAAACTAAAGCTCATATTTATGGTTAAAAAAATGGGAATAATGGCAAAATGCAATTGTTTGATATACAGCCCATCCACAATTTGAATTTCCTCTTATCAGTTATCACACTTGCCAAACCCTCAATTTTTCAACCCCCTCAGAATCACATAATCATTTTTTTCATTTATTTCATTGCCAACATTGCAACATTGAAGTATATCAGTCTCTATGGCATTTCCCCAGAACTTTATTTGAACTCCATACTCTTTAAAAAATTTTCAAGCAAAATTTCATTGAATATATTAAAACTACCAGTCAAGACAGGCAAAGAATCCTTCATCCCATTACAATATTCCCTCAATAGAATTCATTTTAGGAAATAAGTGATTTTCTAAGTAAAAGAAATGTAGGCAAAAGAGACAAGGAAGAGTCACAAAGAAAATGTGAACAGTTTTATCATTGACAAAACATATGACTTACACTTCTAGAGATCCATTTCCTAGCAAAACAGCAAGATAACCCATTCGATGTTGGCATTTGGAATCAGATGCATGACAAGGCTGCCATTTCACATCCCAAACAACTTTTCCATTATGAGCTAGGCATAAAACAACTCTTGGCAAAGCAACATCCTTTGGAATAGAACAAGGATTTGACTTGATACTCGAGGACACAATATCTAGGCCACAATTTAGCACTGGAGGGTCCTGTTTACAGTTCTTACATATTTGATGGTTCATATAGAAAGGTTCATCGTCTGTATCTTGAGTCAATAATTGTGGGAAAAGAACACCAGCACATTTATCTTTTTCCCTTGCCTCACTTTCCAGTTGTCTACTTTGCTCAATAGTTTCAAGACATAAAGAAAACGGTTTGGCATAACTTTCATGTTGTTTGCATTTGTTTACCTGTGCGGTTGGTTCTTGGGTATTCTCAGAGACCACTTCTATAGCAGGCAATTGAGATGAATCTTCTGGGTATAGGGCTTCAACATATTGGCTGTTGCAATCTAGACTGTCAAGGGATTTATTGATTGCCTCCTTTCTAGGCTGTCGTTTTGGCCTCTTGAATTGAGTTAATTTCTCCTTTGTGGCTTCATCATTGCAAGATGTTTCTATTTGCTTCTCTCTTGGTCTCTTGAATTGAATAGACTTTTCCTTTGTGGCTTCATCATTGAGAGATTCTTCTATTTGCTGCTTTCTAGGCTTACTTATTGGCCTCTTCAATCGAGCAGAGTTCTCCCCGGTGGCTTCACCATTGGGAGAGATTCTTCTATTTGCTGCTTTCTAGGCTTACTTATTGGCCTCTTCAATCGAGCAGAGTTCTCCCCGGTGGCTTCACCATTGGGGGATTCTTCTATTTGCTGCTTTCCAGATCTATCGCTTAATCTCTTGAATTCAGTAGATTTCACCTTGGTGGCTTCGCCATTGAGAGATTCTTCTATTTGCTGCTTTCTAGGTCTACCCCTTGGCCTCTTGAATTCAGTAGATTTCTCCTTTATGGCTTTGCCATTTGAAGATTCTTCTATTTGCTGCTTTCTAGGTCTACCTCTTGGCCTCTTTATTAGAGTTGATTTATCACCACATAAATTATGATCTTGCATTCCCCGTTTTGGCTTTTTTATTGGAGGTGCTACCTCCTCATTCCCACTGACATTTAGAATGCACCATATTTGAACGACACCTCTGCCAGTAAGCAATGTGCCTAACTTGTGATAGTAAGAGTCGGGAGGATGGGCAGCAATAGCAACATACTAGGGAAGAAAAGGATACATAAAGTAAGCCAAAACTAAATAATAACATTAGTGTACAAATTGTTCCAAAAATTGAATTCTATTTTCAGTTATGCATGCGGTACAGCAATGGAATTTGTGGCCATTACAGAAGAGAAAAAGAAAGAAATTTCTCAATCATATGGGCAAGGCACACCCAACCCATAACTCCCTCAACATCCTCACTAACTAATATAAACAACCAAAAGAGCTAAAGTACAATGTGGAAAAGTACAGTTGAAAATATCTTTTATGATGTCACTCATATTATTAGGAAAGTACTAAAGTGAAAATGGTGAGATGTGTAAACGGTGAAAATTTTCAAAGCCTAGAATTTATACTTTTGTTAAAATTATTTATGTATCTTTGTATCTAGCGTCTTTGGAATCTACAGTCTTTGGATATATAATTACAGACAGAATAGAATGGAGGCAAAAGATACATATAGCAGACCCTAGTTAGTGGTAGCCTATTTCATGCTTTGTTCTATTTATTTATATATCAAATGATTTTAAAATTCCTTATTAAAAAATATTTCAAAATTTTTTTCCAACCTATATTTTGCTTTGCTTTGTTTTAAACCTAATCAAAGTGGATATTTGAAACAAAGGATTCATATAGCTGACCCCAACTAGTGTGGAACTTGGTTGTTGTTGTTGTTAAAATTACATATGTGCATTTACAATCACGTAACCATACAGTATTAGTTAAATTGCATCCATATGCATCAAGTTATTGGCTTACTGCCTTATTGGAAGAAACTAACAAAATTAAAAATATTGAATGAAAGGTCTTTTTGCCAATATTACAAAACTGTCTTGACTGTTTAAATGATGAATTAACAAACTGAAACATAGGAGAAGATTCTTTCAATCACTTCCAACAAATAATGTTGCTTCCCTGAAACTTACCTAAATATGAAGAAAACACAATAAAAACCTCCACAATTGTTTTGCATGATATATGAATTTTGCTTTCCAATTCAGTAGAAAAGATAATCCAATCATGTTATCTGTTGTAGTTCTTGGATTTTAACTGTTTTAAATTCTTACTCATTTGAAGCTCCACAACAATGAAAGAAACAGAATGTAGCAACTTCATCAATGTGTTTCTTGTGATGCTTAAGAGCAGACACACCAAAATGCTCGTCATGATTTTACAAATCTCAATTCAAGAAATTATGCTGGTTAGCAAGTTCTGAATGCATAGAAGTTTGTACAAGCAGTCCAATAATTAAGCTCAAGTAGTAAGGATCGACCTCCACCACATAGAAACATAAGGGAAAAGAAAGGAAACGAATACCTCACATTTGATATGACAATCAGGTCTTTCATCAGCACTAGGACACCAATCCAATGCCCAAACAGACCCTCCAACATACATCACAAAGTCTTTGCTGCAATAAATACAGAGGATGGCATTTGAACAACTACATAAGAAAACTTGATAATTTAGTAGATAAGGATAAACTTGCATAAAAGAGCAGCAAGTTTGAAGTTGGATAAGTAATAGATTTACTTGATAAATAAACCTAGAACGTCCTAAATCAGGAAGTTCCATCAATTATTAGGAAACAACTTCAGGAAAAACCATCTTGTGTGCCAATAACATGCCACACAGTAAAATTTACTGCTGTTACCAACAACAACTAAGCCTTACCCGAAAATTTTTAGCACTCCTACAAAAGAAACTCTAAAGAGAAGCATACAAACAAAAGGGTCTTCAGACTGGTACCTAGATTCTGGAATCGCAGTGCCCCCATCCGGTCCCTTCTTCTGCAACAGCACCAAACCAAAAACAAATGCTAGTATTATATGCTATACATCTGCATAGTAGAGAAACTAAAATCAAACACACAGATCAAAGATGGCAAATAAAATATCAAAAAGGCTTCCCTTAAGTACCTTTGGAACAGTTGATGATGAAAACTGGGGTAAATTTATTTCATGAAGAAAACTTCTCTCTTGAGAATTTTTCATTTCAGCAAATCTAACTGTTCTTGGTTCATAATTGTAATATCTCCATTCTCTGGTTACATACCAAATTCCAGTTACACATGAACATAATGTGACCATTTAAAATCAACATACAAAGCCAAAATTTTCTAATATGTTTACTTACCTTAAGAATGTTATTGAAGAATATAAGCATTGTATTTCTGATACATCAAGAGAATCAGTCTCTGGTTCGCCACAGAGCTTAGCAATCGTGTCGACAGCTTTGAAGTGATTCTCTATCGAATAATCAAACTGCGAAACCCTAAGTCCAGGGCCATTAGGTCCCAATGATTCTTCTTCTTCTTGTTCTTCCATTTTTTAAGTCTCAATAAATGGGGAGCAAGGAATTAGACTGAAATTCGTTTGACAGAAATTATAGTATTATTTGAATTTACAGAAGAGGGAAACTCTCACCTGCCCTCTTTAGTATGTATTATCCTTTTTAATGCAGAAACTGCGGTTCGAACCCTAACATCGAGAAGCTATATATAAATGCAGAAACTGCGGTTCGAACCCCTAACATCGAGAAACTATATATATATAATATATATTATATATAATATATATAAGTATATATATTGGCTTGATTCTCATATATATATTGGCTTGATTCTCAACGAAAACGACACCGCGTCTCGTTGGGTTATTCTGTGCGTGCCCGCTCGTTCTCTCTCTTTGATTTCTGGGTCCCGCTCCGGTTTTATTTTAGCTTCTCCAAAGGTTTATGATTCAAAACACAAGTGCAGGACTATCGTTTGATGCAATGTTCATATCAATCTGCTTTATCATGCACAAGATAAATTTATGGTATCAATTGCACGATCATACGAGTTACTATCTCAAATTTGCATAAACAGTAGAGTAGGAACCCTAATTTCAATATCCCGAGAATAAATCATTAGAATTGGAAATTTAAGGATGTAATACGGTCTAGAAGGGAAGAGAAGTGTACACAGCTCAGTTGAGGCGCTGAGTCGCCGGAACTGAAGACGGAGGTGGTCGGCTAATTAATGGTTGGGTTTATTTAGGTTTAGTTAGGTTCGATTAGAAATCCTTGGTTGGTTTCGATTTTTCTTGATTTAAGGGTTTGTCAATTCATTTAGTTTAGGTTTGGTTTACCTTAGGCTTTTCAATATATAGAATGCATATGCACTTATCTTTTGTTTAAGAACGGTTAATTTTATTCTTAAAAAAAAAAAAAGAACGGTTAATTTAAGTAATTAAATAAATTTATCAATCAAATAGAATAATACATCAATTAAATTAATTTTGCCGTTGAATCTTACATTAATATCTTAAAAGTGAAAATTAAAATGAAGAATGGAGAGGGAAAACATCGAGATAACCTAAAAATAGTGTGCTTAAATTTGATGTTAGAAATTCAGAGTCTATTTTTCTTGGTTAAATATTTTAATTTAATTTTTAAAAAATTTTTAATTTGAATAGTTATAATATTTGTGAATAATATTTAACTAAATTAGAGATCTCAATTTTTTATCTTAACTTTCAGCTTCCTAATAATAATTTTTAAAAATTATTTTATTGTATAAGAAATTAATTATTGAATAATAATTTAACTTACTAAAAAAATCAGAACCCAAGTGGGAACCCTAACTATAAATTTACTAGTATGTCAATAAGAGATAAATATTGAAAATGTGTAAGGAAATTAAAATATAAAATCATTTTTAATTATATATTAATAATTAATATTTGTTGGAAAAGTTCAATATGATTTAGCTTTATATAAGAAACCAGTTGATAACAAATCCAATAATCTAAATAGCAAATAAAAGAATCGAAATAACTATGATACCAGCTATCAATAGAAATATGCTTCAATCAAAGCTCAGAAAGTTGTTCACATATTTCTTTTATTATATTAATAGAGCAATTTATACTTGATGCAATGGAGATCAAGATCACTTTGTCCTGCTCTACACAAAGCCCCAATCTGATTGTTCATCATCTGAGCCTGAGTCTTCATCGAACTCATTATCATATTACGATTGATATGTAACAATGTTGAGATGGCAATACAGAGATATGCCAGCCAGACCGGATTTGGAATTGGCTCCCACATGCGAAAATCATAGGCCTTAGGCATCGTAATCGCGATGATACAAGAGAAATGGAAAACATCTCGGTTTTGTAGCATCTTGTACCTCCAATGTAATATTGGAACTGATATTCTAGGGTAATGCGCAAAATCACAAGAAAGCAAATTTAATGAAATTAGTACCTTACAGTTTCCAACTTGTCTGCATCTTCATCTTCATCATCAAACTGCAAAATCACAATTTGGAATGAGAAAATATAAACAAAAGACTGAAGGCAAAACTTATCATAATATCTGATAATATAGGCTATTTTGGATCGATATAAATAAGGAATTTGTGTTGTATTCAAGTTAATATTTGTGTGATTATTGTTTATCTAAATAAAAATTAAATTTTAAAAAGCCTAATTATCTATGTATTGATTTACAAGATACAGCCTAGTGATAGGTGCATATGCAACCTGACAATAGATTTAGGTTCGAATCCTCCTTCCCTAATACTCAAAAAAAAAATAAAAAAATTTATGTTTTAATTTAGAAATTTTAAAAATTAACCTTTAAAAATATACATCCAATCGAATTGTAGAAAAATAAAAAGAAAATTCTAAAAATTTCTAAAAAAATATAAATATATTAGTGATTATTGGAAGAAGTTTTGAATCTTCTCTTTGTTTCAACTTTCATATAGATATATAAATTCCTTTTAAACTTTTTTATTTATTTTTATTGTATAGATAGATTATAGCAACGATATGTAAAAATTATTTTTCGAATTTAAATTCTTACACCATACGTTTTAGCATTAAGTATGCAACTTTAAAAATATGAAATCGTGTATTATGAGCTTCTTTTACGCAGATTTGAATTTTTTTTTTTTTTTTTTATATGAGCTTCTTCTTAAGTTTTGGTTCTAAATTTGTGTATCGTCATGCTTGTTTCATCAATAAACCCTAGCTAATTATATTTATAATGATAATTCCTAATAAAATTTTATTAGAAATCTTATATTCTCATAGCATTTTATTTGCAATGAAAATTCCTAAAATATAAATTATATTAGGAATCTGCGATGTACTTTAATATATAAAATAAATATATTAAAAATAATATCTATATAATTACATAAACTAAACTAAGCTCCTTTCAAAAAATAAACTAAACTAAGCTAATCAATTAAATTAAAATTTTCATTCTCAAAAAAAAAAAGTAAAATTTGTAAATAATAATTATTTATTTTATTTTTTAACCAATCAAAATAGAGGGTAGTTCATAAATATGTTGTAGTAAATATTTATAAATTAATTATTTTATTATATGCACTTTAATTTTTATATTAAAACTCTTAATTAATTTTAAATATTAGTTTCTATTGTCATAATAAAATATTAATCTTTTAATATTAATTAATAAAATGTAACAAATAAAAATTATATTTAATTAGTAGTCTATTCATGGAGGGTATTTAGATTTCAATTACTAGTCTATTAAATTTAATTAAAAAATGATTCCTTTATTTTTCTCGATCAATAAAATTAAAATCATTTTTTCAACCTATAAAATAAAAATTCATTTTTTTACTCGGATTTTGACTCGGAGGAGCTATAGACAGGCCGGACGATCTAAAGAATTTAAAAATGCAAGAAAGAATTGAATTAGATAAAAGACTCATTTTAAAAATAAATAAATAAAATAAAGAGTTAATTTAATAAATTATCTACTAATATAACTACTATAACTAGACTAGATTTTGCCGAAATTTTGATAGTATCTCTCCTAAAAATTGGACTATCCACCTATTTAAATATCAATAATTTCATTTAATATTAACTTAATCTACACAGCCCATCCGTCGGGCAAGCAATCAAGTCGAGTTTCCATCCTCCTTTAACCTCAACATCATCATTCAATTATCAAAACCGTTTTTCATAAGCTTAACTTTCAACTTGTCTCAATAAATTCAATAATAATATCCACCATTCTTTAATCATTACTAAAATTCTAGATTAGGCATTAAGAACCGATGTTTCCATTAAATTGCAATTTAGTAATCTCATCTCTTAAGTAATCCAATACACAACTTAAACATATATACCAACCCCAACAAGTATAAGAACATCAAAGAAAATATATATCCATTTCATGTTAACCTATTAAAAGAACACAACATAGTCAAGATAGTTGCTGCCCGCCAAAAAGATAGATGTTCCTTAACTCTTAAAGTTATATATATATATATTCATGTTAACCTATTAAAAGAACACAACATAGTCAAGATAGTTGCTGCCCGCCAAAAAGATAGATGTTCCTTAACTCTTAAAGTTATATATATATATATGCACGCGCGCATTGGTTCAACTCATTTCCCATCAAAATTTAAAATCTCAATCACATAATCCATATCAAAAAGAGTTCAAGGTAAAGAAATTGCAATGGCTACTGCCAGTCCAAATTTCTCAACTTCTTCGACCTAAACTTGCAATAAATTTATTAGCTAATTCATAGGTATTATTGAATTTCAATACATAACCAAAATTTTTTTACTAGTAAAGCTTGAAGTTCCTTACTTTCAACACTAACAGTAGGGATGGCCATATTACAGTTCCCAGAACCGGAACCGGTCCGAACTGGAATCGGAATCGAAACCGAAACCGGAGGTATACGGTACGGTTCCGGTTCCAATATTCTGGAAACCGTAAACCAGCGGTTCCAAAAACCAGTCGGAACTGGATGGAACCGCCGATTTTCCGGCCGGTTTAAACCGGTAGTTCTAGCCGTTACAATCTGTCAGCAGGACTTTTTTTTTTTGAAAATTTTGTAGTGAAATCTCTTAATTACCCGTCCCAACAACTTTAAAAGGCTACATAACAGCTAGTTTCAAGGATATTTGTAGAAAAATGATTTTTTAGATTTATTATAAATACATCATTCCATTCCATTTACAATTTCCTCACAAAAAAATCTCTACACTCTACTTTATATTGTTCATCTATACTCTACAATCTCTCTAATTTTCATTCACAATTTATTGTGAATTAATTTATTCAAATTCCAATCTCTAATTATTCTCTCTAATTTTTTTTATTATTCTCTCTAATTTTTTTATTCAATTTTTCAAATTATATATTATTTTAAAATATAATGGCAAGTGTAGGAAACTCAAATTCTGCTAAGGGCAAGAGAAAAGGATTGGAGAAACACATATCCATACAAACGACACTTCGATTTCAACTCCAACCGATTTAATTTTGAGGTGATATCCATATGAAAAGATGGGAAATTTTCAAACTCAAGAATCAGAATTAATAATGATGCATTACAAACAAGAGGAAAGGAAGAGCAAGGTACACAAACTTCTTCGAAGAGCAACGACAGAGTTCTGACATATTCGCCAATTCATTCACGAAAAAATTCAAAAGGTGAAAAAAATGTTCGATGTAATTTGCAATTATTGGTGGAAAATCTTATAAATTTAAACAATCAGGCGGCTATGGATCATTTTTGGAAGCATTTGGAGACAAAAACATCCACAACAAAAAATAGTAGGAGTTGATCGGTCTCAAACACAAATTTCCAGGTACGCATCTTCTAACCTTTCTTTATTTCAATATACTGAAAAAAAACAAAAAGAAGAATTAAAAAAAATGATTTCTATTGAACATTTATCTTTTAATTTTGGTGAAAAAGTAGGTTTTAATCAATATTATAAAAAATCTTTAAATCCTTCTGCTAAAAGAGTGCCAAGAAATACTGTAAAACGATCTATTTTTCTTTGTATAAAAAAGGAAAAAAAGAGTTAGAGCTTTTATTTTCAAAAATGAAAATTCGTGTTTCAATTTGTTGTGACATTTGGAGTGATCATTGGCAAATGCATTCTTATATGGGCATTTTATGTCATTGGATTGATAATGATTGGAAAATTAAAAAAAAAATTATTGCATTTCATGCTTTTGATGATAAACATACTGCAAAATATTTATAGAATAATTGTTTCAATTTTAGATGAATATAAGTTGACAAAAATTTTTTTTTCAATTTCATTTGATAATGCTTCTGCTAATAATAAATTAATTGTTGAACTTAAAAATATTTGTGAACCAAATATTGGTGGAAAATTTTTTCATACAAGATGTGCTTGCCATGTTTTAAATTTAGGTGTATAAGATGGTTTGAAAATTCTTGAATCTTTTATTTCTCCAATTAGAAAAGCTATTTCATATTTATGGGGACATCTCCAAGTAATGAAAAGTTGGGCTAAATTTTGTAAGGAAAATAATAAAAGACCAAAACATTTTCCAAGGGATGTCCCAACTCGTTGGAATTCCAACTTGTTGGAATTTCAACATATGAATTATTAACGTATAAAGAATTATTGTGCATTTTTGTTGCTAATAATATTGAAGAACTTAATTTATATCCACAAAATTGGGATATTTGTGCAAAAATTTTAGATATTTTATAAGTTTTTAATGATGCAACCTATAAATTTAGTGGGTTTATTATCCCACGTCTCATTTATTTTTATCTATGTGTATTAATATTGTTAGTGCATTCCAAGAATTTGAAAATGATTTTGTATTAAAAGAGTGTGTTTTTTCAATGAAAAAAAAATAGTTATCTTATTTTAAAAATATATCACCCCTTTATCTTGTTGCTATTGTATTTGATCCTAGATATAAAATTTATGTTTTATGTGAATATTTGACTAGTTGTTATGAATTATTAAATCTTGAGATATAAGATAGTGTTAATGTAAATGTAGTATTGTATGAAGTTAGACAAAATATTATATAATTATATCATGAATTTGTTGAATTTTCTAGTTCATCTAGTTCTAATTCGAATTCTTCTCAATTTAATATTCAACAATTTCCGTTCTAATTCTAATTCTTCTCAATTTAATAGTCAACAATTTCCAACTCAAAGGGTAAGTACTAGTAGGGTTGGTGTTGCTGAACGGGTTTTACTACAAAGACAAAAAAGAGGGTTTTACTACAAAGACAAAAAAGACAAAGGGAACCCGATTTTTTTTCTGAATTTGATAATTATCTAACCACTTCTTTTGAGTTTGGTGATGATTATACAGATAATAATTTTCCAATTTTAGATTGGTGGAGTCGCCACGCCAATACATTTCCAATACTTTCTTTAATTGCAAAACAAGTTTTAGCAGTTCCGGTCTTCACTGTTGCGGTTGAACAAGCTTTTAGTCAAGGAGGAAACATACTTGATGAAACACGATCTCGTATAAATCCCGATTCACTAAAAGCACAATCATGCGTGGATGATTGGAGCAAGGCCGAACTAAGAACACAATAAAATCTAAAAGAAAATGAAGATTTATATAATCTTTACGATGGATCCTCAACGGGAACATCAACCGGTCATGGAAATAGCGAATAAGGTAAAAGGGGTGAAATTGGTACAAGGTAAATAAGAACTATGTGGCCTTTGATTCCTCTAAACCCCAAGATGATACGTAGGCAACTTTATTTTTTTTTTTAAAAAAAAAAAGTTCAAGCCCTTTTTTTTTTTTTAAATTATGTTCCAACTTTTTTTAAATAAATTCATGATATAATTCTATAATATTAAATTGAGAAGAATTAGAATTAGAGAAAATTCAACAATTCATGATGAAATTACTATAAGATATTTGTGGTATAACTATGCAATACTACTTTATATTACACTATTTTACTAAAATAATTATATTATAAATAAATAGTCAATATTACAATAAAATCATCAATTTTACTCTAGGAATCAAATACAATCGCAAATAAGAGGGGTAGTACTTTAAAGATAAGAATAATCATGTTTTTTTATTGAATAAAACATTCTATTTGATGTTCAATATTTTCAATTCCTTGAAGAATGTAGTAAATTCAATACCATTGTGTAAAATAAATGAGACGTGAGATAATAAACCCCACTAAATTTATAGTAGATATTAAACTTTAAAAAATCTAAAATTTTTGCAACAATAATCCAATTTTGTGGATATAAAATTAAAGTTTCTTCATATAGTAGTACGTAAATGCACATAATTTATTATAAGAAAATATTATGCATATGTCTAATAAGTTGAGATTCAAGGTTGGGAATCTCCTTTGGAAAACATGTTTGGTCTATTTATTATTGATTCTTACAAAATTTAGAGCCCCAACTTTTATTACTGTGGGGATGATCCCAATACATATGAATAGATTTTTTAAATGGAAAATAAATATTCAAAATATTCAAAAATCTTGTCACATAAAATTGTAAAACAATGAAAGCATATCTTATATAAAAAAATTTTCACACACATATTTGGTTTGATCAATAATTTTTTAAAGATCACATTGAGATTTAGTATTAGTTATCAAATGAAATTGAAAAATTTTTTTTGTCAACTTATATTCATCTAAAATTGAAACAATTATTCTATAAATATTATTTGCAGTATGTTTGTCATCAAAAGCACAAAATGCAATAATTTTTTTTTGAATTTTCCAATTATTATCAATCCAATGACATCTAATGCCCATATAAGAATGCATTTGCCAATGATCACTCCAAATATCACAACAAATTGAAACACAAATTTTCATTTCTGAAAATAAAAGCTCTAATTCTTTTTTTCCTTTTTTATATAAAGAAAAAATAGATCGTTTTACAGTATTTCTTAGCACTCTTTTAGCAGAAGGATTTAAAGCTTTTTGACAATATTGATTAAAACCTACTTTTTCACCAAAACTAAAAGAAAAGAAAAATGTTTCCATAGAAATATTTTTGCTAAATCTTCTTTTTGTTTTTTTTTCAATATATTATGAAAGTAAAGAAAGGTTTGAAAAATGCGTAGCCGAAAAGTTGTGTTTGATACGATGAAATCCTATTTTTGTTGGAATGTTTTGTCTCAATGTTTCAAAATGATCTATAACGCCCGATTGTTTAAATTTATAAGATTTTCCAATAATTGACAATTATCGAGATTTTTTTTAAACCTATTGAATTTTTTTCGTGAAATGGAATAGCGAATAATGTGAACTTCTGTTGCTTTCGAAGAAGTTAGTATACTTGCTCTTCTCCCTTCTCTTCTCTTGTTGTATTGCCTCATTTATTAATTTCGATTCTGAATTGGAGATATGTCCATATTTCATTTGGATTCCAAAATTAAATAGTTAGGAGTGAAATGAAGAATCGTTGTAGTGATACATGGATATGTGTGTTTTCCAAATTATTCTTGCCTTAGCAGAATAGTTGAGCTTTCCTCCAACTTGCATTCTATAATATATATAATTGATAAAATGAATAAAAAAATTAGAGAGAATAATAGAGATTGAGAATTTGGATAAATTGAATTTCACAATAAATGTGAATGAAAATTAGAGAGATTAGTAGAGTAACGAAGAATATATAAGTACATGGTGTAGAGTGTAAGGAAGAAGTAGGATTTTTTTGTAGGAAATTGGTATGGAAATGGAATGAGTATTTTTTTAAATTAAAAATAATTATTTCACATACACTTGAACTAAGTTATTAGCGTTATAATTGTTGGGAGGGGTAATTAAGAATTCATAAATTTTTCAAAAAAAAAAAAAGTGGACTTGCTGACAATTGTAATGGTAGAACCACTGGTTGAAGTCGACCAAACGGGTGGTTGTCATCCGGTTCTGATCGTTTGGAACCGCGTTGCGATTCCAGAATATATGGAAAGAACCGAACCATATACCCATCGATTTCGGTTCACAGTTCAACCGATTTTGGTTTCCGATCGGTTCGAAACAGTTCCGGTTCTGGGAACGTATTATGCCATCTCTATTTTTAGTAAATTGGAGAAACATATTTATGAAGTAAGGCCGAATTAAGAGCACAAGAAAATCTAAAAGAAAATGAAGATTTATATGATCTTTACGATGGGTCCTCAACGGGAACATCAACCGGTGGTGAAAATAGCGAATAAGGTAAAAGAGGTGAAATTAGTACAAAGTAAGTAAGAACTAAGTGGACTTTGATTCCTCTAAATCCCAAGAAGATACGTAGGCAACTTTATTTTTTTTAAAAAAAATAAGTTCAAGCCCTTTTTTTTTTTTTTAATTATGTTCCAACTCTTTTAAACAAAAAATAAATTCAGTTCAAGACTTTTTTTTTAAAAAGTAATTAAGTTCAAGTCTTTTAAAAAAAAAAATTTAATTGAAGCATTTTTTATTTTTTAAGTGTATTTTTTATCTTTAATTTTTATAGATTTTTAAATTTTGAAAATCGGTCTTCAAAATTTAAAATTATGCGATTCGCTGAAAAACCGGTCAGAGAACCGATCAGAACCGTCGATTTTGGAATCATCAAGGAACCGAAACCAGAACCAAAACTGAAAATTTTCAGTTCAGTTTCGATTTTAAATTTTTTGGAACCGCGGTTCCGGTTCCGGATCCGTGTCCATACCTAACCAACAGTAGCTAACTAAGGATTAATCCCTAATATTCTAATAATACTGCAATCATAAATCTCAAATCAAAAATTCATGAAATAAACTCAAATTGAATCAAGGCTTACCCAATCAAGAAATATGATGTAAAAATTGAATGTATTCGCTAAAAGTGACTGAAAACGAACTTGAAAGCCAAACTCACCGCTAACGGCGATAGCTTGACCGGACCTTATGAGAACGGTGGCCGAAAGTACGCTGGTAAGGCATTGACAACAAGAGAGGAGCTGGCTTGGCCGGCCGGTAGTAGGTCTTGCCGGAAAAATGAGAAGGAGGACTGATGGTGATCCTGTCCGATCGAAAACCAACTGCAGCTTCTTGTGTTAGCTGCGCTGGCCGGAAACGACAGGAGGAAGAGGTCTGAGCTACGCCATCGACTGAAAAGAAGCTGGAGTAGACCGATCTTGCTATGGAGTCGTCGGATGATGCGACACGATTTCCCGATCAAACGAAGTCGCGGGTTCCCTGCAATAGTTGCGTTCGCCAGAGACGAAAGGGGGGAGAGAGAGAGAGAGAGAGAGAGAGAGAGAGAGAGGGGAAGAGAGGCCAGAGCTGCTGCAACGAGGAGACGACGGCGAGGAGGCGGTGGCCGAGGCGCTGGTCTCAGGTGATGGGAAAAACGAAGGAAGAACAAAGGAGGAGGGCTAAGACGACGCTGAAAGAGAGAGAGAGGGAGAGGTTTCTAGAGACTTTTGGTTTAGATTTTTAGGGAATGAGTTGGTTTGATTCAGTCCAAATCATGATTTTTGTGCAGTTTTTGATTTTTCAATCGGTTTTATTGTGGTTTCCATTTGATTGTTGGGTTTAGTTCAACTATATGAATTGTACGTTTGCATTTAACTGGTTAAATAAATTCATAAGGCGTTAATTTATTCAATTTAAAATATAATAAGTTCTATAATGCCATTGATTTAGGGTTGATAATTAAATTTTTAAATGAAAATTTTTTATCCTCAATAAATAAAAATAAATTACATTTATTCTTTTTAATTAAATATTTAATAAAAGTAAAAATAAAACATATTATATTCTTATCATATTTAACATGTATCTTATATAGTATAATATAACTAATTAAAATCAAATTACCTTTATTTTTTCAATCAATATTATCAAAATTTTAAAAATATTATATTCTTTTACCATATTTAACAGATACCTTATTTAAGCAAATTACCTTTATTTTTTAATCGGTATTATTAAAATATTAAAAATATCATATTCTTTTACCATTTAATAGGTACCTTATTTAATATATAATATAATTACTTAGTTTATCCAATAGAATTTAGATTTGAATACAAATTTTTTGTAATAGAAAATCTTGATTTGGAATTTTTTGATATTGCCCCTAATAATTAATATGTGTTATATTATTGTTCTTTTTTTTAAAAAAAAGATATACATTAAAATATGAGAGAATTATTAATCCTTCTATTTTGTTAAAATTATTCAAACAAAAAATTAATTAGGATCATATAACTTTTTTTATACTTTATTAATAACATTTGATAACATAATATTAAGACATCTTTTTCAACGTCCTTAAAGGACTTAAATTTAATAGCAAAATTTTTAATAAATTTTAATAATTATTTATTAGTTAAACAAATAAAATATTATAAATAAACATAATAGCATAAACAGTAAAAAAAGATTCTTTTAAATATAATAATTAGTGTTTTTTTTAGAGGTCAACTACTAAATTATATTTAAAATTTTTACAAATTTTTACATTAACAATCATGAATTTTTTAAGAATTATAGTATATAATAATATTTGGTAAAGATTCTTATGTATTTTTATCTTAACAGAAACTCATTAATAAAAGATGGGAGGGCTATAGTCCATTCTTAGAAGATCGTAAAAACACTGCTCTGCAACAATGTGCAGCAGGTTTGGTGATGCGTAACAAATTAAAGACAATGAAGTAAAATACAAAAGCAGGTGCTTAAACATAATGTGACAGGAATACTATGTTTTGTTTGTAAGTATTTGTTTTTGAGCGTTGCCATATACTTGTTTTTTGTAAAAAAGACAGATCATATAATGTTTTTTGAAGCCTTGCAATAACTAGTAACAGTTCTTCCAAATTACTAAGGGAGCGCATAGGAGCCTTCGACAACCCTAAGCCGCTTTCACGTGATCAACTGCCTATAGCGTAGGCAACTGGGTTTGGCTTAACATCTTTCACCAAGCAATCGATGTCAGATCTTAGAGCAATGATTGCAATGGTCGATTATGTGTGCATCATTATTTAACAACAGGGCAAGTATCATTATGTCGTGACCTAACTGCAAGGTTCACGTAAGCTTGAGCCTTCAAGAATGCGGCAACATTGCGCATGCGTAACAAAGAAGGCTGATTTGATTTTCAACAAAAACTGTTTGATCATAAATCCACTAAGAAAAGGATTAGAGCCTCCATACAGTGATAAAGCATGTAAACATTCCAACCACTGAATTCCATACGAGACCCCAGCAGCCAATCGTACGAAGATTACTACATTTTGCGAAACGAAGTGTAGCAAGAATGTAGCAATGTTTCAGTCCTCTCTTACAACCGAGGGCAAGAGGATGGAAATGTCTGTTTTCTAAGAGAAGTGAAAAACGAGACGGTAAAATATATTTGAAGGCAATCCAAGTTATTTTAACCTTAGGAGGAAAATGACAGCTCCCATAACTTGCCAAGAAAGCGGAAACTTATTTGAGAATAGAAACGCTATTAACGACTTTAACATTATAAGACCATTTTGTAATCATTGAACACCCACGTCCGGAGTTGCTCCTAAAAGTCTTAATTCCAAAGGCAGTTCTGTGATGCATTAAATCCGCTCAAACCAAAATAAGCAATTCTATTATTAGTTCGAAAAGACCATTATGGCTGAACTGGGTGGGGCAGTCAGGAATCAAAACAAGTATCCTGTCCGTTACAATAAGCGCGAAATCTTGCGTAAAGGACAGTGCCCGCAATCAATGATCCATTGAAACTTGGGTTAGTCTACTTGGAGCCACTAAATCCACGAATGGATGATATTATAGCTCTTAAAACACTGCTAACAAAGAAGTTTGGCCACCAATTAAGGCCACAGTTTAATGGGGCTTAACACGGAGTTTTACCAATCCCCCCCATTCGATAAGAGAGTCGAAACAAGACCACTCCTCCTTACGGACAGATTTTCTAATCATGATAGCAATGGGATCCCAAGCCTTTATTCTTTCATTATGCACATAAAACGGGTTCCAATAGATTTTAAAAGTAGGTGCAGCTATGAAATCTAGTCAGGGACCCGCATCAGACATGTGGAATGGACTGGCTAACAGTTTGAGATAATAATTCTTTCCAGCTTGGGAAGTTTATTTCTTCCCACTGTAACGTTTAGCAGATATAACATATAATTAAAAAAAACTTAGTTTTGCTTTACCAACCAGGAGTCAAGTATAATCCGATACTCCAGATGAATACCGAGAATGAGTTATATCCCATAGCTGAAAGCATATTGCGATTAGTAAAGTTAAGATAGAAAAATATTTACGGATGCGTCGCCGACGCCTTTTAGAATAAAGTCAGACGTTCTTTAACAGATACTCAAAAGAATTAGCTTGAAATAATAGAGAGCGCATCGTCCGGCACGAACAATGCGAATGAGAGGAGCCGATGATATAACATTAAATATACCATGGAGCGTGTCGCCTTTCCTCCCAAGAGTTAAGTGAGCGGAGAGCTCCGGCCACAAAATAAATCCGGCGATAGGATAACCTTGCATAAATCGTGTTGGGATAACAGGTCAATTACGGTTTAGCCTGCATGATGAAATATGTATGTTACTGATTACGTAATAGTATTTTCGAGCACTTTTTTTGATATCGCACAGAGAACTAACTCCAGTTTAGATATATAGCTCAAAAATGCCCGCAGTAGTCCTTAATATAAATATGCATGGAATTGTACT